TTTTCTGGTTTTATAACAGTTACAGTGGAACATTGCTATACGTGAAGAATACTGGACTAAACTCTATTTTAATTAAGATTTGATCACTAGACACACACTTCATCAGACATGCAGTTCGTGCAGATTCACCACTGTTTCTATTTATACAGTTAGCTTGAAGTGAGATGTTTTATTTATGCTGTGGGTCAGTTAAGCCAAACGATCTCATTTACTGAAGAGGGGTTCCAACTGCTCTGTTAATCCCCATAAAACATGCCCAACTAGGTTTTATTGGTTGCTATGCTAGTTCCCGTGGTAACAAGGAAACTAGTTACCAGCCTTTCTGTTTCTCTTTTGTCTTTGTATGTAGCTGACCACATCTTAAAGATACTGTTGAGATAAATTGCTTACTAATGTAGCTGGTGAATGCCAGTTGTCACCCACGAGATGCTGGCAGACTAAAACAAGGCCATGATGATGAGTTGATCTGATTAACAATGTAAAATAATGAATTTGAAAACATCACAGATATCTGGGCACTGCATTGTCCTCGTATGGAACCAGTCCCCCTCTTTTGTAATCCCCACTTATTACATGATTCCTCTCCTCGTTTTTCACTTCTGCTCTCCTACTTTCACATTTTTGGAAATTTTTTTTATTCACAATAGCCACAGAAAGTGACAAGTATGAAACGCCTCATGACGCAAGGAGCTTCGTCTTTATTTGCACTGCTACCTGTGACCATATCTGCAGGGTGGAGTGAATAAGAAGATTTCCCAAAATGTCAAACTACTGTATTAAATTGCTAGGAAAGATGTTCAAGAGGCATTTAGCATAAAAATTAAGGGCAATTTAAGTAAGATTTAAGAGTAAATTTAATGTTGCACATATTTATTCTGCTGAACAGGGAGTGTGGTGATCTTAAACACAGTACTAAAAAGCAGCAACAGGTTCATGACAGTGCTACAGTGAGAGACAGCCACACTTATGCGCCATCAACAGATCCACTTATGGACGCAATTTGCTTTGCATCACAAAGCAATCATGTTGAGAGGGCAAACCCACTAATAAGACAGAAACACTACAAAGGTTCTAAAATAGAAACAACAGCATGAATTCAAGAGCTGCCACCGCTCTTGTGGCGCTGTTCTTGTTGTGAGTCATAAGTGTTAGTTTTGTGTCTTGATGACGCGGGCGGATGCGTGGGTGACTCTGGGGGAGAATTACACATGGCAGATGCAACATTTGTGTTCCCCTTGTCATCCACTCAGTCTCAGCTACATTCAGCTGGTTGTTGCTATGATACAACATGAAATGACACTCAAAGTGAACACGCAGACAAACACACCAAAGCTGTTACGTTTTTACACATTCTGGGAAATCTCATCTATTTCAGACACAATTGAAGTGTCTTGCCCACATCAAGTTGGTGTGAAGTCAGACCAGGACTGTTTTGCTATGGAGACCACATTTTTCCTGCCAAGGTTAACATAAATCCCACATTAAGTATGGCTGACATGTTTATCACAGTCTGTCAGGTAAAGAGGATGAGGAACCTGACTGTATTTGGATAAAGAGAGGAGATCTTATGTTCCCACCGTGCTCTCAGGTTGCTTCCTCTCATGTGTGGATTATTAGAAGGACAGCGCTTGGGAGCTGTTTTGATCATCATGAAGCTCAGTGCTCTCTGCCTCTGGTATTTCCTCTGGTATTTTTAGAGTTGAAGGCAATTCAATCTAGAAAAATATGTTCTATGCAGAAATACATATACCTTCATAACCACACTAAGGAAAATGAAACTCACTTGTGTTGTACCCATTGTTAATTCAAAACAATATGTACACACTGGATAAGGGTCATATGTGCAGTTTATCTGACAGTGAAGCACTGATATTATCATGAGGGAATAACAGAGAAGGGTGCACCTGTGCTAATACATAACACAGTGACAAGTGGTCTGTACGATGTAGGGAATATTTCTCTCTCTTTTGCTGCTGGAGTGATTTGTCTCAGCTTGGCGTCACCCTCAGTGGTGCAGCAGTGCTTGACACATTTGTCAGACAGATTAATAAAAACCAAAGACCTTAACAATGTTTCTGTCCAAAGTCAAACTTCATCCATTTAAACAGCACAAGCCAATTCTCGCTCTATGAAGGAAAAGCAAAAAGCAATTCTTTTGGTCATATTTGTTATGATGGGAAAGTCAAAGGTAATACCTGGACCTGGGCCTCAGGGCAGCATAAGACATTAGTGGGAAATTTCTTTTTCCAGTGACAGGTCCCCTTATGAAAAGCTTCCAGCAACGTAAGGAGACAGTGATGAAGAGCTCTGAGGCTCGGTGAGATAGAGGAGCCATGCTGATCAGTCGGTATGCCAGATACTGCACCTGTTGGTGTGCTTGGCTGAAGCTAGCGCGCCACAGCAGAGGCAATGCTGAAAACGTTTCCAGATGAGACACAGTTGTTCTTTTGTGTGAATGTTGCATCAAGTCTGAAGTGATGACCTGCATGTGAAAGTCCAGGTCACTATATGTGTCATTCTTAAGCGTATAGGAGGAGCTCTAGTAAACTGACAGACATAATGAATACTTATTGGCCATACTAGCATGGCTCTTTGGATGACTGCCAGTTTACCACTTTGTTCCAGACTGAAATGTCCCACAAACAATTAGATGAACAGTTTTTTTTTTTTTACTTTGAGGATGAATCTTAGTGATGTAATGATCCTGACTTTTTCTCAAGCACCACCATGTTGATCACATTGTAAACTCTGAATGAATGTTTCAACAACTAGTGAATATATTTACATAGAATTATATACAGATAGATGTTCATGCCCCCCCGTTACCTAAATATAGTTACCGAAATAATAAATAAAAAAGATTAAAAACCTCCTGTATGCTACCAGCTCCGCACCAGACAGCAGACAACCACAGTGACTGGCTGGTGAACCCAGTGGAGCATTTAGCAGCATTTAGACATTTCCCTCATGAGTTGGTAGATCACTAAAACAGAGTAAATATTGGACTTCAATTTGCCAGGTGGCCAGAAACTCAATTCCAAATGAATAACATTACTCTGTATGCAACAGGTTCATCATATCAGCCTAAAAGATGATTGTTCACATGTGGTGTTCACAATTTTCTTCCACTATTAGTTGTCAAAATACTTTCAATACATTGGTTTAATGACCAGAGACATGAAAAATGAAAAACATTCCTATCAGCCTCAGCTGTACCTGTGTAGACTGGTCTTAGTCATTCCAAGTTAAAGCCAAAGCAATTTCAAGTAAAGTCATGCACTTATTTATTCATTCTTCACAGAACAATATTAGTCACCTCATTATGAGAAGCCATTCACACCTTCTGGGAACTTCCAGCAACCGCTCATTAACCTGCTTTGATATTCATTCATTCATTTTCTACCGCTTAGTCCCTGAACGGGGTCACGAGGGGGGGGCGCGGAGCCAATCCCGGCCGGCAATCGGGCGAAGGAGGGGTACACCCTGGACAGGTCGCCAATCCATCGCAGGGCTAACACATAGACGAACAACCACCTATGGGCAATTTAGAGACATCAATAAACCTAAGCTGCATGTCTTTGGACTGAACCCACGCACGCAAGCACGGGGAGAACATGCAAACTCCACACAGAACGGTCCCGGGTGGGGCCCGAACCCGGAACCTTCTCGCTGTGAGGCAACTGCGCCACCATGCTAGCTTTGATATTGTTTCCCACAAATCTCTCAGTGATGAGCGCGTGTCAATGTCACTTCAAACTAAGCATCGGTACTATAGATTTAACGGAGCCCTGTTAATTGTGCTCTCCACAGACATCTGCCTGTATCTAAAATAGGTATGAAGTCCATCATGGAGGTGAAGAGGAACAAAGTAGGCCAAGGTCTCTCACAGAAAATAGACTGACTCACTGAGGGGTCCGATTATCTTGGGAAAGAACAGGAAATTGAAAAGAATGTAGGTTAACAACAATAATCCTCAAAATTACAGGTGCATGAGTACAGACCCCCTGCAGTGTGATTAAGTGAAGACGTACTTCCCATTACAACTGCCTATCAGGTTTAATTCAGCTGAAAATGGAGATGTGACTAAATATTCCATGCACATAAACATCAGCTTCATGAGGGCTAGACTTTATATGTTCAGATTCTGAATGTCGACACCAGTGGAAGAATGCAACCGAGCATATTTACTTGTAATCGGTAACAACAATCAGATGTTGTAAGTCTGCGCACTACCACAGTTGTGATGAGGAAATTAGAGCTCACTATAAAGCAAAAATAAATCTTAAAAATCATCCGTTTTCTTCCCCTGCACTGCCCCCCTGTGTTGACATGTGTTACTGCATGGTGATGCCAAAAGCAAATGAACTTCCCAGCTTCAAAACACATCCGATCTTTATTTACAGTCCTTGCATGACAAAAACAAACATACTGCTAATGATGGTGAGCTTAATCCTACAAAGAGGTATAGTGGTGAGAAACACTAAAACTAGCATACAGAAGCAGTCAAAAATTTAAAAAAAGGTAAATTCTCAACTAAAATGTCCCCTCTACTGTACTTATCAGGACAAATGATGCAGTTGGTAGTATATGCTATGTAAGGTTCAACAATTCAAACAACATACATACATACAATGAATCTATCTGAACTTGAATACAGAAGTTTTCTTTCGCAGTTTGTCATTTTGTCCAAGGAGGAAATTTCACCAAAGACAGGCTAAGGGCCAGTTCTAGCAAGACAAACAAACTTTACCTCTACTGCACACACACACACACACACACACACACATTCTTCTTCAATTCAAAGAGATAACTTGGCAGGAACATTTCATACAGGAGAACTATGCAAAAAGATTTTTAGTCATGGAGACATAAACATGACATGAAGAACAAGAGCGGCATGATAAAAGTGAGGTGTTATTTTTAACAAACATTCAGCAATGTAACAAGCAAGCACACAACTGGTTGTTAAATAATCACTGACTGAATGTTTGTGAGATGAAAACAAAGTTGAGTGTGAAGTGCACATTTAGGAAAACAAAGGTCAGGCAATGAAAGGTGAGCAGATAAAAAAACAAAAAACAAAACATGACACTTTGAACTAAAGGAACAAAATCTGTGGTAAGGCGTCAAGAATATTACATTGTACCAACGGTTTTGTCAAAACTCTGCCCACAGGATGATGAAAACCACTCTTCCACATAGCTCAGGTGTCTCTGCCCAAAATGAAATCACCTTATGATTTCACATCAGTAGGAAACATCTTAAAGGTGATTAGCACATTGCACACACAGGGACATTTGAATCCAAAAGTTACAAATACAAACGGCTGCAAACGATGGTGGGTGCAGTTTTCACTCGCACATACTTTGACTCGTACACCTCCCAGTTCACTCTTCAAACTATATCATCAATGTATTCTTGCTTTTTGTTTGAGTTTCACAATCAGTCTCCTGGTGTTCAGTGACTATCAATCTATATGTTAATGACAAACAAGAGGAGGGGAAAGAGAGGTGCAGTGGAACAACCAACAAATAATATATGACGCTGCGCACATTTGCAAACTATCTGAGTTCTTATGGTTCTCATACACACTGATGTTAAGCTACAGTACATTTCTGCATGTATGCTAGATCCGTTTCATTTGTACATAAAATATTTTCAAGTATGTTAGAGGGCTTCTTATGTAACTGAAAACAATGTTTATTTGCATCTTTGTGATAAATTCAAAAGAAAAAAAAAAAAGTCAGGTAGAACGTTTTTCCAAAGCAGGATGGATTAAATGTTCATTAAAAAGGCATTCTGCAATTTAAGTCCAAAACTCTGTAATAATGATTAGGATGTCAGCCCCTCCAGCACCGTGCTATAACATGATCAAAGTTACTGTACAGCACTTTTTTCCCCCAGAGAGAAACAGTCGGCATGCACTATGCAGTGCTGAAATGGAGCAGTGTTTTTGAGAGCTGACTGCCCCCTTTCACACTGCACCAGCACTGTGAAGCTCACATTTGGTTTCGGATATCTGGGACAAAGTGTTTTTTGTTCTAACCCTGACAGACAGCTAGTGCCTTAGGCCTGAGGAGCAAGGTTGTAGACCTATGGATACAAATTCCACAGGCAAAGGCCTAAAAAATGATGGAGAGAAAAAAACAACAGCAGCTAAGAATCCACATGTGACCAGAAGCAATATTCCATCAAAACAAAACACTCTGCTATCCTGTCCTGACTTATATGGAGCAGCTGGATTAGGTAGTGATGATAAACATGTATCAGGCTACTTCCGTTTCACAGCGGCAGTATCCTCATCCTTCAAAATGAACTTTTTCCTCAAAGCTTCTGAGATCAGAGTTGCTGAATCCTCCTCTCTCAGGGATGTACAGCCTCTGTGGCACCTGTAATTACACACACCAAAAACACACAACCTGTGACTACAGGATTATTTAGGTTATCCTGACAATATTTTAAACACATTTTAGAATCATATACAATATTTCATACACAACTTTCCCTTCAAAAGCACATAAATATAAAACATCACTAAATTGCAAACCCATGACAAAATAGGAAAGACATAATGAGCTATGGTGCAGTTTCTACTCACCTGTCTTTGCTCATTTTCATGCGGTTCATGTCCTTCAGGATGTCCATAACGTCAGCAAAGCTTGTGGACTTTGACAGTGACACTGTGTCCTCCTCTGCCTCACGAAAGTCCATGCTGGGTCTGTCCAAGTCAAAGGTTGCAGATGCTGTCATGGAAACAGCTGGCAGAGGATCAGGAACCAGCTCTGACACCATAGAGATTTCATCTTTCTCATCTTCCTCTTCCTCTTCCTCCTCTGTGACATCACTGATGACAAATGATGCAGCAGCTGTGGCGGCCGGCTGGTAGGATGCCATTTCAAAAGGCGCCATGGAGAAGCTCATGCTTGTGTCATCAGGGGAGAGCAGATCAGGGGTCAGGGGGTTGGAACCTGAAAGAAACGAAGCAACGCAGTGACCAGAAATAGGTCGATCTGTAATAGTTATTAGGTGGAACTGAGTACAAATCTCATTTATAGTCCTATTTGAAATTTCCAATGTGAACTTAAAGTACAAGTACGGGTATGATGCTGCTGCTTGCAGTAGCTCTCCTCCCAGAAACTACTGTACTTCAAGTAGAGAGATATGGCTGAGTCTACAGTTCAATCACTCACAATTAAACTAATTTTCCCTCAGCAGCATTTTATTATTTCATTGGAAAGGTATTTGTACCTCCCCTAAAAGCCCAAATTGGATATAAGACACAACACTTCACTTAGTATGAAGGCCTGGTCTATTTGAGGATGATGATCCCCTGTTGACAGACAATCTCACAACACAAAATTTACAGAATGTAAGAGACAGGGTGGCTTAAGAATAAAGTTTAAGTCATAGAAACAATGATTAAAATGAATGGGATTAGATGTGGAGACCTGATACTTTCTCATGGCATCTCTTTTCAAATGAAATCAAGTGGCACACAATCACCAGAGAGCCATAGTGATTATCTTTTGTCACTGACCTACAAACCGCTGCCAAGACATCTTAGTACCAAGGCGCTTTAGGGGAATTAGGGCAGCTGACAAAAGAATCACAGTAACTCAACCGGTAAAACACACTCACATGGCCTCAATAAAGCAATCTTATATCTACACTGTTCCAGGCAGCTTTGTGTGTCATAGTATCAATAAAGAGAGTGTAAAGTTAGACATTACCAGTTTTCACGTTTTTAATCTGTACTCAAATTTCAAATTCAAGATCTGCATTGTGACCTCTGCAGTTCTTGCTTGGGTTACCTACCAGAATCACTTGCCACAATCTTAGCGATCTGTGCACGGAGTTTGCTGAGCTCATCCTGAAGGGCTGTAGTACGATTTAGCGCTGTGGCCCCAGGTTTCCTTAGCCCCTCCACCCTCTTGCCCTCACGGCAGAAGTTGGGCACAGATGAGTTCCTGTGGAGCACCAGGAGAGGCGTGGGCCGCCATTCGTGTTTCAGTGGACGTGCGTCACTCCTGAAAACAGAGAAAAACAGCAGATTTTACAATTTAAAACCTGATGTGGTTGAGTAGGCTATAGGCCATCTGATGCCTTTCTTCTGCCTGATGCCCAGAAAATGTCCCCTTGTACTAAGTAACATATTCCAGAAGTGTATCAGAAGTACAGACGTTCAGCCTAATGCAAACCAATAGAATATCCCAGCAAAAAAACCTCTGCATGTTTTACAATGTTTATTTTTTACTACATTAACTACACATTTTTACTACTAATCTCTGAAACAGTATCCACAAAAAAATGGGACATTATAACCTTCTACTGCACTCATTTAGGTTGCACATTTGCACCTAACAAACTGGAAGCTCAGTGAGTGACTTGGAGTAGTGACTTGGCACTACTCCATAATAATACTCCATAATGTCTCTCAGGGACAGACTGTATACTTACCGAACTCTGGCATATGTCTCTTCTTCATCTGCAACAATCCAGGCTATGTCTGCCAAAGTAGGAACCGCAGGGCCATCCATAGGCCGAAGAGGCGGCAGGCCTGGTAGTTCCTAATGCACAAAGACAAGTTAATGTTGTATACGCCAGTATTTCTACTGCAATACACAGTTACTACATAGAAAAAAATTAGATGGGATCATATGCACCTGGAAACATGCCCGCTGTGGAGGTCTTAGTGGAAGGGTGGACCCTATTCTTCTTACAACGCTACGGGTGGATCCATGAGGCTTGTTCTGCCAAATGGGAATAACTTCCTGCAAAACATACAAACACTGTTGGTCTCTTCACAAAATATATCTTCACATCAGTGTTTAGCCTACAGTTTGCATTTGTGCCCAGTCATGTGGGAAACTACACAAAGTTACACAGCGATAATTAAAAATACCATTAACAGTAATCAAGTAAACTTACTGTTTCTGTTTCCATGGTGATGGTGGATCAGTGTCATTCGCTGGGAAGTGTTTGGTGCTAGCAGTGGATAAAGTCAGAGCAGTTCAGTAAACAGATGCCACGTCCACCTGACTGCCAACTTTCAGGATATAAATTAGTTACTAGTTAGATCATCTGGTGAGAGAAACAAGCAAAATGAGAACTTAAAAACATTATTGTTTTACCACCAACTTAAAACAGTTTAGAAACAGTTACTCTATAATAACTGATACATTAGTGAAGTCGTTTGTTTTAGTTATTTCTCAATTAAGCTGTCAAAGGTTGATACAGCTTGTGAATTTGTAAGATTTGCTTGGTATTATGTGTGGTGGTATTATTAGGTGATGATAAAAGTAACATTAGAGCTGTTAGTGCTTCTAACATAACCTTTATTTAAATGAGGTCAGATCATTTTGCATGAGGATCAGATTTCTGGAGAGTAGGTCCAAAACAAATGCTTCCTGTGAAATGTAAGTCTATAATATCACACTTTAAAAATACTCTAGTACAAGTAAAACTCATGCATTCAAACTCTTACATAAGTAAAAGCTGATATGCTTTAGCATCAAAATATATTTTAAGTACCAAACGTGTAAGTACTAGTCACGCAGAATGTATATAATATTAACGATATACAGCCTATAGTTATGAGCAGTATTCGTTTTTACTTTCTTAACAATCGAAAAATCAGTTAATATTTGCACGGATACTAAAAAGCATGAAGTTAATAATTTCACCGTGACTACCTGGATAAACATACAGATTTGTCCTGCATGAGTGCTAACACAACTAGCTAACTAACTGTCTCAATTTAAAACCCGCTAATTATGTCATCACTAACATCACCCTTATAGGCTGCTTTGACTGACAATACCGCTGATGAAAATAATATAATGAACGTCAAAGACAACTTTAGCGCTGTGGTTTGAGAATAGCTTTCTTCAGTTCACCACTAGCTAGCTGATATCCACAGACACATATACCATTTGTTAGCTTTAGCGGAACAAAGTGCATTTAACCTCAACAGTACACTATATCACAATTTTCATACGATTAGTTTACATTCACAAAATGTAATTAACAACACAGGACAGCAACATACCGCAGATTAAGAATGTACGTTAGACAGCTACACCTCTATGACAATAGCAGCTTTTCCTCTTCGTCTTTTAGACCCAAGTTGTCGTTCATTAGGCCGGAAACCTGTGCCTCCTTTTCACGTAATCTGATTGGCTGAAGAATCATGACATCGATTTATTTCGAGTCATAGATCTCTCGACTGAGCCTAGAGCGCCTCCCGGAGGTGGACGGGGGCAGTGCTGAAGCTAGAAAGATTTGTAAAGTCATGATTAAACAGACTACACAACATCTTTGGAGAGGCGATTAATTCATTTTAATGCCCATTTAAGCTTCAATTACTTAATCAAATGAAATTCCACTGAGATTATCAACAAATTTTCCAAAGGAGCCCTGGCCAAGGCTACCATATTGGCTATCTATAATGTAATTTTTATATCTGAATGTACTAACAAAAAGATGTTAAAACATATATCTTAACACCTGTAAACTTTACAAGATTTTTCCGTTGTGTGCTAATTAATTTGTAACACACAGGGCATTCCTTCGGCCCCTCACCAATAGATCAAGAAGTAGGCCTATAGAACTAAATAAATAATACAAAGAAAGAAAAAGAAAGGAAGGAAGAAAGGTGCATAGCCAAATATTCCCCCTTCGTAAGCGATAACACTTTCTTTTCATTAAACTCTGAGCACTAAGAAATGCTTGAAAACACAAGATGATTCCTCCTCAATTACTTCCGTCTTCGCTTTGTTTGCCGGACACAGCCGGACACAACACGACAACACCGCCGGTCCGGGAAGAGGAACTCTCTTGACAGCTGGCGTGTCGGCTTTTAGACACAGGGCGGAGCTTCAATACCGAACTTGTTACCGTTGTCTGCAGTGATATCATAACACTGCAATATGAAGACTGGCTCATGTGATTGCCGCTCATCTCCATCCCTGTGCAAGACACGGGTCAGTAAAGATAATAATGGGTTTACCTGCTGCTCTTATATATTCTTCATCGTTGTTAAGCTGCTGATGTAACGGTTTCTGTCGTTGTAGCTATCTCGATCATTCTGCAATGTCTCTATCAAATGCCTACTTCCTACACGGTGATAAATGCACTCCGAACATTCACAGGAGGCAAAATGTTCTACATTTTTAACCATATGATTGAGATCTTAGGAGTTCTTCAAAAATGCAGGTCGAAGATAAGTTAATCCTGTTCTTTCCCAGTAATTCAGAAAAAAATCACCACTTAAGGGAAATGAACCTTATAATGTGAGTTGCATAAATGATGCTTTTGTAGCCTGATGTATTCCTGTCATGATATGAACATAGTCTCAGGTCATATCTAAATAAAGCACTGTTTACAGTCAGAAAATATAGTATCCCATCCATCTTTGGAAGTATCATATTGATATGCATTAACATTTGTTTAGCATAATTATAGAAATATGAAATATGAGCCAGGCCAGAAGTGCAAGATGCACCTAATTGGTTCCTCTTTGTCAGCAACCTTGAACCACATTGATTACTAGGACAGACACACACCATTTATATGGATTGATTGACTATTTAATTGAATTGGAAACCTGGCTCCATTACTCTGCTGAATGTGTAGCACACTTCTTTATGGGGTCATGTGACTACAGGTACTATAGCTTTTACCAGCTCTTGTCCCTCTCTCTGCCTGGGTGATGCCTGTAAAATCAGCTAATATTTTACAGCTTACTGTCTTGTATAGGTGTTATAATAAGGGCAAAAGGTGAGCATGGGGAATAAAAGGACAGCTGAAGGAAGGATGCCAGCTGAGGCCCTCATCCCTTTATATCTGCCACCACTGTCAGCCTCTGACTAAAGATTGATAGAAAATGGCTCAGTCTATGAGGAGGCCGGAAACTTTAGGAGCCATGGACCATGAGCCCCAGCGGGACAAGACCAGGAGCAGCTACTTTGGCAACGTCAAGAGCAGGTCAGGCTTCCTAATACATGGATTACTGAGAAGAAAACAAAGGCGAGCACACACATGTGACAAGTTTGGCTGGCATTTGTTTCTCAGATTTAAGCACATTATAATTCTGTCTTTCATTAGAAGGTGACATGATTATAGATTAAATGTCTGTTATGCTCAACTACTGTACAGCTAGTTTTTTTTTTTTTTTTGGATACAAAATGCTGATTTCATTCACTGTTACTACTGGACTCAGTGCTCCATCACAGAGCACCATGTAGGTGAGAGCTACAGCAGCTTACCAAGAAATCACTTCCCTAGCCATCGCACAGACAGCTCCCACTCCCCTAAAAATAACTCCAGTCAGACTGTGAACACTGCCCTATACACTTCTTCACACCCCAAATACAATAAACAATGTACTAGTTAAGTGCTAAATAATGTACTTAAACAGTCTAATTGTAAAATACTGGCATTTCATCTGTTTTATTTACTCCCTTTCTCTCAGGCTGGGCTCAAAGCTTCCTCCTGGCATCTCTCAGCCTCCGCAGTTTGCTAAGCGGCCCTGGGAGACTCAACCTCAAGCACGAATAATGCAGAAGCCCCCAGTAATCAGCCACTATCAGCAGCAACCCACTGTGGGCCGGCCTCTCAACCATGTCCCACACATCAGAAACCCCAAACTGCGGCAGTACTACCTGCAAGGTACTCTAGCAGAATTTGATATCACGGGGTAGGGTGCTGGTTGTCTGCATGAAATGGAAGCAAAATGGCTGTTGGATGAACTCTGGCTTGAATTTACATTTTATAATGCTCATATTGAGTCTGCTGGCAATTTTATGTTTTTGCATAAAGTTATTTTCATAGAGAGGAATGGCAGGCATATGAACTGTGCTGCTTCTTCATGCTTGCTGTCTGCTGTTCTCAGGATGTTTTGTCACAAGGCATGATAGAAACTTATTATTTGTTTCCTTACAGGGACTTCATGGGATCTGAACAATACTGCAGTGAAGCAAGGGCATCTGAGTGCACCATCAGATGGCAGCACAAGCAGCAGGGTGAGTCACATGACTTTGTTTTACCTGTATGCATACAGCGAGGAGCACAGCTGTGGGAACGGGTAAGAGGAATTTGGGAAGTGACAGATGTGGATTTATGCCTGCATGATATATTAGGTATGATTTTGGTCTGCTAGGATTAGGTCTTGAAAGCATTTAATAAGGAGAGTTCAAGGTTCAGAGATCAGGTGAGTGTCAGAGCTGTCAGCCATTTTCCAGCACTATGGGGAAACAGAGTCTGTTTTGGAGCCTCTATAAAAAGTACAGCCGGAGGAATGTATATTGTACCTACAATATATTCAACATAATGGTCATGTAATTTGTGGTGCACCAGAGTAGAGTTTCTGAATAGTAGTACTGAGAGGTGTTTCTAAAAATGTGAGAGTAGTTTGAATACTAGAAACATCTTGCACAGTTTATGTTGAGATTAAAAGTAGCATTTTAGCTGAACATTAATGGTGTTAATTGGTTTTTAGTCACAGGAGTGCTTATTTTTAAAGATTATATTCCTGCAAATTTACATTATAGAATTATGCCTACATAAAACCCATCCACATGCTCGCACCCACACAAAATCACACCGTTTTACAGCAGTCACATAATCTGTCAGGCGCCAGTAATCTAATTCAGGTCAACGGATCCATCTGGATGGAATGGTCAGTGGGTGACAATTGTGGAAATGATGCTTCACTCCCACTGTTCAGCTCTTCAACTAGATTATCTTGTAATCAATAATATATTTTATTCACAGGTTAATATCCAACCTGACAGAGCAAATGCTCAGATTTACAGCAGAGTGGAGGCACTCACAATCAGATCTGCACAGCAAATAGCATTTGAGATTTGAGTCCGTATAGAAGCTAGAGCACCTTAGTACTGAATGTAATGTCCTTAACCAGAGTAGACTATACCATTAACTGAAAGACCTCTTCTATTGTTCTTGCAAAAGTGCAGGACAAGTAACTGTTTTGACCTGCAAGCAGCTTGATGCACAAAATGCGAACCATTTCATTCACTCTAAAGTCGTGTATCTCATGCAGAAGTAAAGAATATCTTGTAAACATCTGGTGTAATCTGAGATCTGACCATCTACTGAAAAAGACCAATCAGAGAATTTCTCTTGTTTATGTTCTAGGGTCTCCCTGGGGACACTGTGTTCAGCATCTCATCTCAGTTCAACAGTCATGGTACATCCTCAGTAGAAGACAGCAAAATGGCCCACTGTCCCTCCCATACCTCCTCAAATGTATCCTCTTCACCTGCTGTCCTCATCCCTAGAGAGGTAAGGTGCAACTATAAGCTCCTCTCTATTAAGTGCGTGAAAGGCTGGAAATGATGCAGTTCTGCCTGCTGTTTTATTGATTGGATTTGAAATGCAAAACAAAACCTGTCCCTGTGTGGCTGCAAGTATTAGGCTTGAGGCAGGAAGGGTGTTGTTCCCCCCAAACTCCGTCAAGCAAGAGGTACCTCACCTATCGCTTATCCTTATGAACAAACTCAGATAATATACAACGTTTTCTATTTAGCCACTGTCATTTGTATATTGTAGCTGTAAAACCACAGTTCCAACCCCTCATTTGTCACGTGGAGCTGAGATCTGACCAAAAAAACAGGATAAGTGGAGCAATACAAGCCTGTAGAAAGAGGAAGTAGGTACTCCTGTCGCTAGGTTATATTTATTTCACAGTTAGAGCTATTCTTATCATGGCTTCCATTTTGAAGCAGCCGGTCATTCCAGAGGAGAAAAGCACTTCCACCAGTCATGGATCGTCTCAGTCAGAGCTGATCCCAGAATCTGATCCTAAAGAGAAGCCGGAGATGGAGGCTGATCAAGACTCTTTGGATACTCTCCCTGGTCCAGCTTACTCCCCCTCACCAGAAGCAGAATATGACAAACTACTGGTAGGTCTTGTAATTTATAAACCACATGTTTTGTAGTGTATTAAAACATTTACACTTCAGTTACACTGTAGCTGAAGTGAAGAGCAGTGGTGCAGAGTAACTAAATATATTTACCCAAGTACGTTTTCACAGCCAGCCTTCCTGGGTCTGGTGGACCTGCTATATTTATTTTAACTTAACACAATCAAACAATTTTATGTTAAATACTCAACTGATGTTTACTTCATCCCAATTACAAGCAATATAAACAGCATATATGGTTAACATTCGCCCTTTACCTTTGTTAGATCACATTTATGAATTAGTCCAGTGGACCCACTGAATTTTTTGATAAAGAAAATCAATTATAATAAAGATATGAGTGGAAAATTTTACTGTATTGTATGAGGATGTCAGGAGTGGCAGAGAAGTACGCCAGAGTAGTTCAGGATATGTATGAGAGGAGTACGACAGTAGTGAGATGTGTTGTAGGTCAGACAGAGGAGTTCAAGGTGGAGGTGGGGCTACATCAAGGATCAGCTTTGAGTCCCTTCTTGTTTGCTATGGTGATGGACAGGTTGACAGATGAGGTCAGACAGGAATCTCCGTGGACAATGATGTTTGTGGATGACATTGTGATCTGTAGTGAGAGCAGAGAGCAGGTGGAGGAACACCTGGAAAGGTGGAGGTCTGCTCTGGAAAGAAGAGGAATGAAAGTCAGTCGTGGTAAGACAGAATACATGTGTATGAA